CTACTGTAGGGCCTAAAAAGACACTGAAAGGTACTACAAATAAGAAGTCACAGAAAACTTCAAGGACACATTACCCCAGTTCTTTCTAAAGTCCTCAAAAACTGATTTTTTTCTGTTTTTTTTTTTCTGGGCTGTTTTTCATGTAATTTCCTCCCCTTAATGTTATAACAGTGGATTTGATTTTCTGAAGAATGTCTAGTTAGTCTGACAATTGAAACTTTTACAAACCACCTACACCAGTGATTCTAACATTGAAATTGTCAGTAGAGCAGAAGCATCAATGAAATATTTGGGGGTTGGGAAACAAACAAATCAAACATAAACAAGGCCTACTGAATTACTACAGTGGCTTTGCGCTGTTTCAAGGGAAGTGCTGTTAGTACAGAAGCCAGCTGTTTAACTATTGGAATTCTGCAACTTGGCCTGCTTTCAGTGAACTTCAGAATAGTGTGACTAAACTTTGTCTCTTCTTGTAGCACATGGAAAGAAACATTCACATATTTGGTACAGTAGATTAAATGAAAGCCAAAAATTCTATTAACTTTGACCTACACAATATGAAACCTCTTTTGAGCCTGAAACTGACAAATAAAAAAAAAAGGAAAGAAACCTCCAAGGAAATCAGTGTACATCAGCAAAAAATAATGCCCAGGACTGTCACATGTCCACAGGCAGCACTTTGAAGGTTGAGTAAATATAAGGAACTTTTTTGATGACAGCTGGAGGGTAGCACTGAAATAATGTCAGAAATATGAGAAAAAATGTTATGGGCGCCCAGTATACTCAGGATCAGTCCATATTTTAAGACAATATCATAAAAACTTAAGGAACAGAATACTGATATAAAATGTGCAGAACTCCCAACCATTTATTTACTCATATGGATTTTAGTTTACAGCTTAAGTTCTCAGTTAAATCAGCCATTATGCAAAAGAGCACTCGGGCATGTGCTCAATGTCGAATAAGTGCTTTACTACAACTTACTTGAGCATTGGTTTAGATCTAAATGCATCTGATAATGATTATCTAATTCTGCAGTCCTTTCAGAAGAATCACAGAATTATAGAATCATAAAGGTTGGAAAAGACCTCGAAGTTCATCTAGTAACTCATTCCCATGCCCACTAACCACATCATGCAATGCAATATCCACATGGCTCTTGAGCACCTCCAGGGACAGTAACTCCACAACAGCCTCTGAAAGAGTGCATGAGCACTCTTTCAGAGAAGAAACTTTTCTTGATACCCAATCTGAACCTTTACTGATGCAATTCAAGGCCGTTGCCTCCTGTTCTATCACTATTACTTGGGAGAGCAGGCCAATCCCCACCTCACCATAACCTCATTTCAGATTGTTATACAGAGCAACAAGGTCTCCCCTAAGCCTCTTCTGCATACTAACCAACTCCAGTTCCCTCAGCCACTCTCCCTGAGACTTGTGCTCCAGATCCTTAACAGCTCCATTGCCCTTCTCTGGACACGCTCCAGGGCTTCAGTGTCTTTCTCATTGTGAAGGGCCCAAAACTGAACACAGTACTTGAAATTCAGCTTTACCAGTGCCAAGTACAAGGGACAGTCACCTGCTGTCCTACTGAATATAGCATGGGCCAAGTACTGATAAGACCCACAGAAGTGATCGCAACTCCTTGCAGTTCTTTGTCTCATCTCTATCTGTAGTAGTATTATGTATTGCAGTACTTTAGAAGACAATAGCAATTTCAAATTTGTTGATTTTTAATTAATGTAAGCATTAGGTATTGCTCAAAAGTAGAGCCTAGAATTACAATATGAAAAATAATCAATTTTTCCTATTCTTATCTATTATTTTGCCTAATCTTCTGAACAAAACATCACAGATTTTACAATCAAAATAATACTGATATATTGTCAGAATGCTATATATCCCATTGCAATAGAAGTTAATCGAGGAAAGAATGCATTGAATTATATAATTGAGCTAAATTTGAAATGTCAAAACTTAAGCTATGTTGTATGCGCAATCTGGACAAACTGAAAAGAATTATGGATTGATAAAAAGGACAAAGGACTTTTAAAAAAAATCACCTCCATTAACCAGTTCATCTTTGGCTTGTTTACTCATTTTTTTTATTTTATTATTGTTTAACATTAGCATTAGCAATGTTAAACAATAATAGATTTTGCACATTTCTGAGAACATTTACTTGATTATTTCCTTTATAGCATTTTTGTGTAGAAATGGATCCCATAAAAATGCCACTATTAGCCATTAGTCATTATTGGAAGAAAATTCTGATCAAAATATTCCACTAAGGAAAATTACCCTAGTAAATGCTCTACCAAGTAAATAATTGGCTTCAGCAAAGAAAAAGGACACTTGTTTTGCTAAACAACTTTACAAGTTCAAGATATTTGTAGTCTTGCTTCTCATAGCACGAAGATTTCAGCTGTCAGCTTCTGTACATAACTTTTGGAAGTTCCTGGCAGAGATATTTCATCTTATTGGCCTTACATTTTGTCACTGTGATATAACGATATCTGTCTAGTATGAATGTCAAGAAGATCTCACGTGTACACTTCTTAGAAGAGCTAAACATAATTAATCCTAAAATTTCTTATTGGCTTGACAGATTTTTTTAATGTATGACCTATTTTCTAGATAGAAAGCTCATGATAAGCCAGCTGAAACCTACAAATGAGCAGTCCCTCCTTATTTCTACTATAATCGGTAGCATGACAATGGTACAATACAATCTACAATACAATACAATACAATGGCAATGGGTACAGTAGCCAACCTATGTACTTTGCGAGCTCCTATGAAATACTATTCAAAGGAAAAATCCCAAATGAATTTTTTTAGAGTGTGCTTGCTTATGAGACATTGATAGACTGAGAAAAGAATGTTTAACTAATCAAAAATTTGTACCTGCTGTTCAACTGGATCTATTAAGAGAAGGAACCAAATTTCATAGAATCACAGAATTTGCCTTCCTATGTTTTAAATTGGAGCAGGACAAAATATGAGAGCGCTCTGGGTATTCAACACAGTAATGACACCCCAGATGCTATCATGACAGCTAAATTTTAAGAGTATTAGGCTTAGAGAATCCAATTAATAGGCTTCAGGAAAAAAAAAAAAATCCAGTGAACAGCTTGTAACTTATAACTCAGTGAGTGAAAATAGTCTGGAAAAAAAAATCCAACAACAAATCTTTATCTTCCTATTCATAATACTTTTCAGTGATACACAGAAAACAATGCGCACTCACAAATCAAAATATTACTGTAGCATACTCCTGGCATGCTATTCTGTTTAGTCTTATGAAACAAATAATTTGTAGCAGACAATGTACAGTATAGAGGCCCTCAGTGAATTGCAATCTACCAAGTAAGCATGTTTTTCTTTTTGTTTAATTTATAGTCCCTGGAAAAAAAAGACATTTAAAAACCTATTGTCTGGGTTTACAAAGCTCATGAGGATAGTTAGTTCTTAGCTGATTGTACTGCTGGCTAAAATGTTAGACATACTTTACCACTAGAGGTCTTTTCATTTACGGATGTACTGAGGCCGCATGGGTTCTTCATCAGAGGACATATGTTTTAATCACAGGGATCTGCAAAATGCAGTGTTGTCTTCAAATTGACAACTGCAGACCAGATATGTGGAGATTAACCTAGAATTTCTGTGTAGGAGGTAAGGATTTCTCAGAGAGAAATGGAATTTTCATCTTTGTTGATATACCCTTTCCCTTTATTTAGCTTCAGTAATTTCTAAAAGCTGAATTCCCTGCCAAACTCTGAATAACAGAGTTTTGGTCTCAGTGATAAAACTGAAGAGGAAAAATATAAAAAAAAATTTTGAGCTGACTGAATTGAGTTACTTCATTTTTTTGGCTCCTTCTTTCCTTTTTTTCCGTATTTTGGGTTTTTATCCAATGTGGATTGTCTCTACATGGAAAAATTTAATGCTGAAAATGTCAAAACAAAACATTTAATCTTCTCAAAATTTTACTGTCTGAAACCAAATTCTACCAGAATTTAAAAATAGACATCGTAAGACAGCAATTATTTTGTTTCTTCTGTGAATTTACTGTTCATTCATTTCTAGAGTCATAGAAGGGCAACTACGTATCCAACTGGGCTTTATACATAGAAGCCCTGGAAAAACAGGTCTGTAATCTTTTCATAATATGTCAGTGAAAACTCTAGGTAGTAAAGAAATCAGAAATCCTTGACAGTGCAAGAATTTTGTGAGTCAAAGTGTAACTCTTTACTGGAGCTGAGTGGAAAAGGTAGTAAAATGTATTTTCTACAGATGCCCAGTATAAACACTAAACACAGGAAGGACCATATTATGTTAGTCCAGTTTTCCATCCTGTGCAAAGCTATACAATATAAACTATTCTGTCTTTACCTGTTCCATCAACCACAATCCTATTTTTGCTGCATTTCATTAGTTACTGTGTTAGCTTATTTCCTCCTGCAAGTTTTTGAACTTGCAGATCTTCCAGCCTGTGTAGTTTTATACAGTTTTCATTTCCCGTTTGAATGTATTCTAACTTCATACAGTGGCTTAATTTCATTTTTCTCACTTGAGAATACTTGAAAATACTGCACAGGTATGATCTTTAATCATCAGCTACCTCAATCAATACAATGATCAGCTTTTGTCTAAAAGCTAAAGGATAATTTTATTTTGCAAGTCCTCTAAATGCCAGGATGTGGCTTTCTTCTTCTCCATTTTCAATGCCAAGGTAGTTCAAGAAAATCTTTTGATAATAATTTTCTGAGAAGATATATGCTTGCTCAAATGCTTAAATGCAACCACTCATAGGCAGAGGTCAAAGCTGGCCATTTCCAGGAGTATCCTTGAAAGCTGTTATCTAAGAACAGCCATAGATGCTGCATCTACTACTGTTGTGCTAATTAAGGTAAACATAATGCAACTTAATACGATTGCTGCTGAGGTCTTTGCATTTTCTTTCTAACATGAAAACTTTCCACTTGTGTTTTGAATAGGTAAGCCTACAGGGTATGGATCCAGCAGTAGACGCTTACACCACAAGGGAATAGTGGATGAATGCTGCTTCCAGAGTTGTGACCTGAGGAGGCTGGAGATGTACTGTGCTCCAATAAAGCCACCTAAATCTGCACGCTCTGTACGTGCTCAGCGCCACACTGATATGCCAAAAGCACAAAAGGTAGGCCAGGCCAAAAGACAAAAAGTTCTATTTTAGGAAAAGAAATTTATGTCAAGGCTGGTTACTTAGCAAACAACTGATGTGTTCTGCCTACTAGAGACACTGAGATTTAGTGGGTTTGGGGAAAATAACCTCCATGGTAGAAAATAAGGAGAAGATTCATCTCTTAGAATGCTGAATAAAAACCTGCAATTGCTAAGCTAGTAGTTGTGAGGCTTTATCCTGCTTCTGGGTATTAACTGAGATGTACTTACGTCATCTGATCATAAATAGCACCTAAAACCTCTCTCAAAAGAGAAATCAAACAGAGTTTTTAAATACTCATTTATCCAGAAAATACTCACTCATCCGTTTTTGTAAGGAAGAAGCAGACTGAGTGACTGAGAGCTCTTCTAGTATTCTTTTTATTGTGTAAACGAACAAATCATTTTCTTCTTTCATTATTGTTTCGGCTTTTTAGGTTTTTTTATTTACCAGAAGTAAATTAAATTGATAATTTAACTCCAGTCACTACATGCTTCATTTTAACTGCTTAATGTTTAATATGTGTATTCTCCAAGAACTGTAAATATTCATTGATATTATCTGTATAGTTACAGAATTCAGAGCATTCAAACATCTGCCTATGTTATGTAGATACTGTACATATATGTTGTTAAATCTCTTTTATCCTCAACAGAGCCTATAGTTCAGCTAGGCTACCATTAAGCTCTCTTCCAACTATCTCTCCTATTTGAGTTCTGAACATCTGTTTTACATGTTATCTGTCATCTTCTGTAAACCTACAATAATATATTTTATTGCTGTTGACCTTTTATCTCCTATATATATGTTGTTCCCTTTCCTACAGTTTTCTGAATACTTTTTCATACAAGGAATTAAACTGCATGAAATCCTAAGACATCACATAAAGCTAGGAAACCAGTCCTATGTACTAATTTTCTTAACATTATCTTCATTAAATAACAACTGTAAATGTTCTAACATCACTTCTCTTCCATAAAATAACCAAAGAAAGAGAATCCTTTCCATCTCTTCCTTAAGGATTTTCAACCTTTTAAAGAAATGGCTGTATGATTCTTCCTGAGAAACATCACCTTAGTCATGAACATCTCAGAAGATCCACACAAATGTGTGTAGAACATATGCAGAAGACAACTATGGACAGAAAAACCCTGTAGTTTATTCATATCAAGGCACACATACTTCTAAGGCTTGTGGAGAAAGAAGAAAACAAGCTTGGCCTGTAGTCTCTGCACTTCGTTCCATAGTTATTGCTAGGGTGATGGGTAAAATGTTCTATTACACCATGTGCATGAAGACAAGATACCTGCTAGCTCTTCGATAGATCTCCATGCCACTTTCCTTAGAGGGCCAAGGAGTGTCCTTCTTTAACAGATATATTTTTCCCTGTGGGAATACATGCAGGAAGACACTTTCACAAACTGGAAGAGCCAGAGTGAAGGCCTTTGCACATTAGATGAGAAGGAGGTGTTTGAGAAAGAATAGTGTGCATCAGGGCCTTGCTCCCATTCTTCAGAGAAGAGATGAGATATCAACCTTTAAGTTTTTAAGAAGCTTTTAGGACAGTGCTTTTAGATATTGCTTCTAGGCTGCCCAGAGTGGAGTCAGGGGTTGGACTCGATGATCCTTATAGGTCCCTTCCAATCTAAGATATTCTAATTTAAGAGGAAAAAAAATAGAGTGTGTAGTAACTGAGATGAACTAGCTGCAGCAGACAGCATTCAAGAAATGAAAAGGAGAATAAACAAGAGGTGAAAAGGACAAAAGGTAAAAAGACAATGAAAAACAGTAAAAAATAAGGAAGGGAATTAAAGAGTCTCGTAAGATGAAATATACTGAAGAACTGAACAAACTATGAAGTACAGAGTTTTGAGAAAATGGGAAAGAAAATAAAATTAGAGAAAAATTTCCTATTAAAGAAAATAAAACTGATGAAGTAAATGTATAGGAGAAGGAGGAAAGAGATGATCTGAAGCAAAAAATTCATAAATGCTTCTTGATGTGAAATTGGCAATAAAATATTAGAAATCTTATAGGAAAAACAAGCTGAATTTCTCCTTCATCTCTGTTAATGTATAAAATTAGATTGAGGAAACAAAAATATAGGAGTAGGAGAAACTATAATTCTAATTTATGCTAGATAAGAGGAACATATAGTTAAAAGAAATAGAATGCAATAAGAAAAAAATTATACATCAGAAAGCTCTAATACATATTTCCGTGTTATTATTTACTCTTTCTTTTTGCAATAGTACATGCTTCCATTAAAGAAAGACAATGCTATGTGCATATCTTTTCTTTGGATAGGTTCACTATCACAGAAAGATATTGGGTTGGTCAAGCAGAACTTGCCTTTCATGAACTCATGCAGGCTGGGCCTGATTGCCAGGCTGTCCTGCACATGTTGTGTAATCCTGCTCATAAACAGGGGCAGACAGAGAATGATTGATGTAGCCTGGGAAACCCAAAACGTCTGTGCTGGTAGAAGGCTAGCATCAAGAATCAGTTTTATCCAAGTACAGAGACTGTATGTGTAGAGTTTTCTGGGTGTGTTTTTTTTTTTTGTGTGTAGTAAAAAAACAAGATTTTTTTCTTCAGGATTGTTATTTGTTCCATTTTAAGACCTTTATTCATAATCAAATATAAAAGTTTTCCAAAAGCTAAGCAATAAAAACTTTGATAACATATAAAGTGATATTTTACATACAGCATACTTCACAGATTTAAAAAAATGAAAGAGGAAAAAGGCAGTTAGAAGTGCTTCTTTATTGCCATAAATTCTGTATGCAATGGAGCACATACTCAACCTTAATTCTAAGTTAGATACCAAGCTGTCAATATCTCTGTAATTGTTTTTCCACAGTCAGCCTGTAAAAAAATTATCTTAAACTGGGGCAGCCAATGAAAGTACCAGACATGGATATTTGCTTGCACAAAGAAATAAAGTGTACATCAGAGCACAATGCTACAGCTGCTGGCTAACCACTCCAAAGTTTCTTGAGAACCAAATGGGCTAACGCAGAGTATGGATTTCAAAACTATCGACCTTAATGAAGTTGTGATCTACAGAAACATGTCATTTCTGTAGTGCCCAGCAGTCAAGCGTCCGTCTCAGACATCTATTCGAAGGATACCAAAGTCATTAGAGCATGTGTGTCCTGCTTTAAAAGAAGTATCACCCCAAATCCCTGAAATATTTTATATTCTTTGAGCAATAGCCTACAGAGGTCACCAAACCTATCTGGGTCAGCAACTGCCTGCAATGAAAAAATGTTTGTAATATGAGAGGTATTTTGAGACGTTGAATGTTTTTTCTCCAGTGCTGCACAACTGATCCAAGCGAGAGTACGTGAAAGTCCATAAAGAAGTGGCAGCTTTGTTTTCAAATGCTTAAAAGTTGACGGAAAAGAAAGTAACTTTCTAGTATGTTTGACAAATGAATAATGGTTGGTCAATGAGAAAATGTAGAAATAGTTTTTTCAGTAGCCATCATATGTAGATGTAACAATCAGCAAAATTTATACAAGACCAACATATCTGTCTAAAATTTAGCAAGCTATTTACTTTGTGTGTGTTGGTTCTCTTCCCCTGAATAGAATCTACAGAGATAATTTACCTTCAAAGTTGAATTGAAATAGAATAGGATCTATAATCTTTACTCAATTACTGTTTTCTAAAGTATGTTTCCATGACCATTCAGATTCCTCAGTATAGCAGCTGCTCACCAGAAACACAGAAAATGCCATAATAAAATGAGAACTAACAGAAACACAATTGATTTTCTCCAGTAAGTTACTTAAGGAAAACTAAGTGATTAAACATACATTTCAATTTTATGTTTAGACTGAAAAAAAAGATGTTTGGGCCAACTGTTCTTCTGGACAGTTTAGCTATGAGAAACAGAATTATTTTACATCACCCTGCAATACTAAGGCCAATACTATACAGACTGCTTTCCTGTCTTTAATTTATTTAATTTGATATATATTACTTTTTTATTTATCATATGTCTGTCATATATCCATTTATCATATATGTAACACTAATGTTCTTTATTTTTATATATCTCACTAGTAGACTGAATGAAAAAAAAAAAAAAAAGTTTTGAAAAAGGAAGATGTCCCTGAACTTTTAACAAAGAGAATGTGTGTGAAACCAAAGCACATTACAGATCTTTTTTTCCCCTAACATTATGAGAATAACTACTGACCTTGTTTTTAGATTAGAATCTTATTTAATGAGAAAATGCATTAACTAGTAAGGTGGGAATAAGAAACAGGGAGAAAAACTTTGAAAAACAACTGTTCTTGGTTCAAGCAAAGGAGACTGAACTGTTTCCACAATAATTATGTATATATTCAAGGGAAGACTGCAACTTTTTTGAATGAAGCAGTGCCATAAAATCAATGTCCAAAGCTGACACAAAGGCTACAAGATGCCTTGAGAATTATAACATGAATTTTGCATTGATAAGGCTGATTATAAAATTCACTAGCCAAAGAACAGGAAAAAATTATAAGTAATTTAGTGCCATGCCCTTGCATCCTAAGCAAGGCTGAAGAGATGTACAATTTAGTATAATTTAACTCATTCTCAGAATTCTATTCCTTATTCTTCTTTAGGATTTATATGTGGAAAATACACAAATGTATTAATAGCAAAGTAGTAGTAGGAAGTGGGTTCTCTCAAAAGATCAAATACTAGCCAACATCCTTTCAGATTATATCTCATCTTCAAAATTTAAATAAATACTAAGTGGGACTGAGAAACAGTGAAAATATGATGGTTTTACTCTAAGAAAATCTCATTGAGAAAACAGAAAGCATATTGCATGATTTCTCATTAGTCTAAGATTGGCTTAATCTTTTGTAATTGGCTCTTTATCAACTCTCAGATATATTTACAGACCAAAATATGCTTAATGGCATTAATCCTAATTTCTACCACATCCATACTACATTACCAAAGCCAGCGAGGGACCTTTTATGTGTAAGAGATAGAAGGACTTGGCCTCTTCACTTCAGAAAATTTTCTCCCATTGCTTACTTTCCAGTCTTGTTATTTTGTTACCAACCACACTGCCCACAGAGCTAAAAAACTTTCAAATAGACCTTAGAGAATCCGTAGCTAAGATATCATGTGTGTTACTACAAACATTAGACTTTCCATTTATTACCAATAAAGCAAGAGATCTTTTAATGCCAATATGAGTTTTGGAAGTCCATCCTAATAGCATAAGAATGCTGTTGCATGCTTCCCAGTACATTTCATCTTAGCTAAATGACCTTTACTGTCACTGAGGTTGTTGTTATCCGTGAGTCTCCAAACATCCATGCTTAAGGTGGTAGGCTTAAAGTTTGAACTTCTCTGTTCACAAAGTGACTTATGCAAAGTTGACATTTTGCAACTGGCATCTTAAAATGCTTATTACATTTGTCTATATCTAAATATCAGCTAAAAAGATCAGACAAACAAACATCACATACACACAAAAAATCATTTTTAGTCACTTAATTTCAAAGTCTATAGAAATAAGGCAAGGTTTTCTATACTAGAGTAAAGACGTGTCTGAGATCCTGATTCAGGCATTCATATTTTGTTTTAAATAGTCTCAACATTGCATACTTGGAAAAAAATGTGTTATATGTGTCAAAGGACTTCCTGGCATGCACGTTAATCTATTTATGGATCAAAATGCTGATTCCAGATGAGAAACTGTTCTAAAAGTTACCTGCCATCTTCCCTCAATTTCAAAGCTAGCCTGTACATTGTGACAGCTCTTTCTCCATATACATGCAAGTATTAACAGCTATTACTGAAAGCTTGCTTTATTTCAGTGATTAAGCAATTTTGAAGTCAGACAACAACATTAGTTGAAAAAAATTTATTACTGAGGTGAAAATGGCTGTTGTTTCATAATAAGGCTCTTACTTTTCTTATAGATGATGAGCGTGCAGCCTTTAAGAATATTTGACTTTTTTTTTTTTTTTTTTCAAATAGAATGCAGTGTATAATTTGTTTCTTATATACTAGTAAACTTTCCTCAAAAAAGAGATTCTAGATGCAGCAGTAACAAGGCTATTTTGTTTTGTTGCCATGAGGGAAAAACAAGACAGATGAGTCAATGAATTCCTGTCTTCTTAGTGCATTGTTACAATAATAAGCACTTCATAGACGTGCTTATCATAGAACCTAGGTTGGAAAAGACCTTAAAGGTCATCAAGAACAACCATCAACCTGACCTACTGAGGCCTATCTTCATGTCTTTCAGTGCTGTGTCCACACACCCCTTATATACTTCTAAGGACCAGATTCTAACACTTCCCTAGACAGGCTGTTCCAATGCCTAACCAGCCTTTCCATGAAGCAGTTCTTCTTGATATCTAACTTAAACCTCCCCCATCTCAAATTCTGGTCATTTCCTCTATCACTTGAAAAAAAAAAGACCAGCATTCTCCTCACTGCAACCTCCTTTTAGGTAGCTATAGAGAGCTATGAATGCTCCCTTCAGCCACCTTTTCTCCAGACTAAATAGCCCCAGGTCCCTTGGCCACTCCTCATAACTCTTGTTTTCTAGTCCCTTAACCAGCTTAACTGCTTTTCTCTATGCACACTCAAACAACTCAAAATCCTTCTCATACTGAGGGGCCCCAAAGTGAATACAGTATTTGAGATGTAGTCATGTAAAAAGAGGTAATAACTTCGCTAGTCCTACTTGCCACAAGATTTCTGATGCAGGCCAGGATACCATTGGCTTTCTTGGCCACTTGGACTTGGCTGGCTCCTGATCTCACTGCTAACCAGCTTTTCAGGTTCTTTTCTGCTGGACACACTTCAAGCCACTCCAGCTACATACTGCTGCATGGAGTTGTTACAACCCAAGTGCATCAGCCAGCATTCAGCCTCACTGAATGTCACACAACTGGACACAGCCCATCTATCAGCCCATCCAGGTACCCCTGCAGAGCCTCCTGCCCTTGTGCAGATCAACACTCCCACTCAACTTGGTCACATCTGCAAGCTTACTGAGAATGCACTTGATCTCTTGATTCAGATCATAGATAGTAGCATTAAACAAAATTCTTGTAGCATGAAGTAGGATCCTTAGCTCATGTGAAGTGCTGCAATGATAGTTTAACTGAAAATCATGAAAAATCCAGAATGAGTACTTTAGGGTGAAAACTAAAGTGCAAGTGAGAGGAAACTAGAGGAAACAAAAGGTAGAAAAGCTGGAGAGAAACAAGCAGCAATAGGATAATAAAAGCAGAATTCTGTTGAAGTTTTTGTTTCTGTCCTCAATCCATTCTAAGAAAATTATTTTATAGCTCTATCAGTAAAATTTGATGAAGATAAGCCCACATTCTGTTGAATTGATAGAACTAGATGATTAATCTCTTCTTCATTCAGCATTGTACTTTAGGCTAAGAAAATCTATAAAGGAAGATTCCTAACAAAGAAATATCTTTGTCATGAATACTCCACTGTTAACAAATTTCTCTTGTCAGCGATGATAATTTTAAGTTTAGTTCAATGTTATTGCTTGGTTGTATAATTAATTTGACACTTGTTGGTTTCGTTGGATTTGGTATTTTTATATATTCTAAAAGACATAATTCAACATGTATCCATCAGAACCGAATCCAAAACCAATGGCAATCAATAAGCTGTATATGAGCTAAAGTTTTGTAATCTTTCATCACTTTCTGATTTTATGTTTTAATAGATCCAAGAAGCAAAGTAAAAAGTCATATATGAAATAGTACTTTATATAGGAAATTTTTTAAAAGTATCTATACTGTAACGCACCAAATTAGCACATATTTTCCTTCTGTCCATCAGAAAAGCAGATGTTTTCATTACTTTTTAAGTTTCAGAGAATGTTACATTTCTTTTTCTAGGGCTAAAATAGAAGTCAGTGCAGTGGCACATCTCCATACATATGCCTCACTTTTCTCAGTGAAATTTCATATTTTGTGGTTTTCTTATGACAGCAGACATAATTCCTCTTCACAAAGAATTTCACTTCTGATGACAACTATAAAAATAGAAAGTCACTTGTCAATTCTGCCTCTATTCCAATAGAGAATGGGAAGTTTGGAGGCCAGCTAATATTTATCAGCATGGTAAAGGAAGAAATCAAACAAAAAAAAATGTATATAGCAACTTCTAGTGCTTCCAGAAACTCGCCTATATATGGAAAGATGGTGAACTGAGGGCATTTATGCATTCCAAAGTCCTCTTGATTTGTTTGTCACATTGCTCTGATTATGAAAATACAAATGATTTGGCTGCTGCTGCTGCAGTAAACCCACATATATTTTAAAATACATGCTAAAGGCCTTATCCAACAAAAACCTTACCTACGCATCCAATATGCAGCTCATGCAACATGTAGGTAACAGAATTCCACCTGGTAATTTTGAAAACCTCTGCTCACTGGGTACCAAAGCCCAGAAGGCTCCACAAACCCTACAGTCACAACGTTAAAGTTCCCTTGGCCCCTCTGCATCCTGCTTTTGCAAACGTCCTTGTTCTGAAAGAAAGAAAATTTATGATACCTGTGTGTCTAAGGCTACCTATGTTCTCGTGTATAGAGGTTTCCTCTGCCAAAATGCTCCAAAATAACAGTTTCCACTTGGTTGACTTTCTCCAAATATCATTAATATGCAAAATGCAGTTATGTTGCAACTATTTAAGTCAACAGTGACAGCAGTCAAGATGTTTATACCTAGAAGAAGAGGAAAATGACAGTACAAATTTTAGGTAGTCAAGTTCTCAGCAATCTGGCAGAAGAGCTCTAATAATTCTAGCATTCAGGATAATTTTTTTCTTACTAATCTTACTAATCTGTGTGGTCATACAGAACATAAAATTCTTTCTAGAATGACTTTTTTTTTTTTTTTTTACACCTTCAGGAACTGCATTTGAAGAATACAAGTAGAGGGAACACAGGAAACAGAAACTACAGAATGTAAGATCATGCCATCCAAAAGAACGAAGAATGAATGTGCCATCTGCAGGATACTTTGCTGTAAATAAATTATTTGTTAAACATTGGAAGACTAAAAAAACTATGGTTTAATAAGCTTGATGCAATCTCAACCAATGGGCATTCTCCCGGTGAACAATGCAACTAAACATTCCAATATTAAGTCTTTTAGAAAACAGAACATTTTAACCAACTCAGAGCGAAAAAAAAAAATCTGTGGTTGATATATAACTGTGTGTTAACCTCTTTTAGATGTCGTGCACAAAATCTCTTAAAGTCCTGTGCCCCTCAAAAGCCTACAAATTTATGGGCCTTTGATGGATCCAATTGCACTAAATTAACCTATGAACACTGGCTGCTGGAGTCATTCATCAGCCTTGTCTAAGTGGTGTTTTTTTATTTGCACTTCTATACATGCAACAGGCTGTTTGTTCTACAGTGTCTGATAACATTGTTTGTCTACCCCTTCATATTTGCACAGTCCGACATTCCCAGTAACAGCAGCAGTAAGGTAACATATACAGTTTTGAACATCCATTAATTCCATCTGTGCCATTCTGACAGAACATGGGTTACAGATACAATTGTTTTAAGACAGCTTTATTTTTCCTTCTCTTGCAAAGATGCAGTTTACTGCAACTTGTGAGACAAAAGATTTTTAAAAGCAGTTACAGCATACATAGCCTCTCAAAGCGTTAATGATTCTTCCAGGTAATTATTTGCAACAGTATAGGTAACTTTTTTCTTCCTCCATATAATGCAGTATGTAAAACTTAGCATATCAGTAATACGCATATATCGAACAATATGTAAAAATCTCTGTTTTATAGTACAACGGTGCTATTTTATAGTTTGTTATATGAAAGGGTCTGGCCAAAACAGTAATAGGTAAAAGCAAATATGGAAACATGAAGTTCAAATAATAAAATAATGCTGTGAATATTTGGTTTAAATTACTAAAACAGTCATGGATTCCAATATGGAAAAAACTTCCATCTTCACAAAAGAAATTCAGATATTTTGCTTTTTTTTTCTTTTAGCTGATTGTATGATGGTGTTTTCCCCCGGTTACATGAAACACAGATTTATAGATGACTAGGTGCAGGAAAGACAATTAATAAAAGAGTTCTCAAATAACTTTAAAAGGTAGCACATCGAGGCCTAAATCTTTCTGAAATATCAGAATTCTGTTCAAATATTTTTGAAGGTTAATCAGGTCCTCTACCATTTCATCACTTCCCAAAATCTGATGTGACTGAAATGGCTGTTAATCAGCCCACTGCATCTCTCTGTAAATCAGAAAATCTAAGCTAATCACCAAATTACAGCGTAGAAAGTCTTCAAGAAAAGATAAAAACCATAATGGCCTTCAAACCGTTACTTTAAAAGCTTTGTAGGAGACATTTAATATATTTCCAGATAATATCTGACATATAAGCTTGATATGCAGTGCATTGATTCTAACATTAACAACACTTTCTTCTGCCCCATTTTTGTAAATCTATTCAGTGCTAGATTAACCATGCAGTAAAGGTGGATAGATAGCCAACAATGTCCTAGAATGAACAATAAATTAACGTGAGAGAAGGAAAGAGAATGCTGGGGAGAAGGCACTGCTTGATCCTTTGCAGAACTGCAGCATGGTTCCATGTGACTTCTTCCACCTCACTACCCTGCATGCAGCAAGGAAAGAGATATCCCTTGGTCAGACTCAAAGTGGGCATCAGGAATATGGTGCGAGGGGAGCAATTAGAAAGATGTTAGATCCGATTTGTAAAGGCAATATTTGTCTCTAAAGGCTCAAAGCTGTCTCATCTTCTACCGCATCTATGGGGGTGGACTGAATTGATTAAAATACAGAAGAATCTCTGTAGATTATATATTGCACAGTTCATCAAGAGTTTCTTGTGAACCAGACAGGAAATATAGGTCTTAAAAGTGTAACAAATTAATTCCCATTTTATTTCTCCTTAGGAAATTTGAGTTTCTTATTTCTTTCAAGAAAAGGGCAATATTTTCTTGTGTAATTCTTTAAATCATTTCCCTTCTAGGAAAAGCATGCTTTTGTGCATACTAGGTTACCGTTACAATGTAAAAACAGAACAGTGGCTGAATATTTTACTAAGCCACAGCTGTCACTGACTGTGATAGGTATGTTAAAAAATGAAGGTACAAAGAAGTAGATGGGGAAGCTAACCTAAATTAGGTACATACATATTTACTACCAATTCCATACAAAGTTGCAGCAAATCTGTTATCAGTCATGGTCTTAATAGGCTTTTTTGTTGTTGTTGTTGTTGTTGTTTTGTGTGTGTGTGTAGGAGGGATGCAGAGGGAAGTGGTTTTAATTTAAATAGTTGCTATGAATTCTTAAATGCATTCTAAGAATGAGACATTATAATCTAAAATATTTCTTATAGACAGTGATATTTAACATTAGAATTTGACAACTGTCTAAACAAATCCCAGCAATTCTTGAAAGAATATCTTTAATAATGAATAGTTTCTAACTTCAAAGGTAACACTTGACATTACTAGAGAAAAAACAGTATCACAAAATGGAGACTAGATCTACCACTATAGAGGTGAGAAATACATAGATGGGGTATGTATACTTGCACAAAAATTCTCCAGTCATAAGGCAGTGAGCACATGATATGCCTGTCAGTGAGAAAGAAAAAGGACTGCATTAGCTTAATAATCTCAATTAATCCGCTACTTAAAGAAGCTGAAGTATAAGCCAAAACATCTCCCTCCCAAATGTACAAAGTAGTCTGACTTGAAAAATTTCTTAATTAGAGATTTTCAAAAGCACTCCAGATATTTAGGAACAGTTGTTCTACGAGATATGATTTATTCTCATAAATCACTTAAGTGATAAAAAAAAATCGCACTCTCCATCTTTCCATGTCATGCAATACACGACAGAAGTCACAGATTTTTACATTCTAGAATTGACATAAAACTCTAATTACTATACAGAATGTCACTAAAGTGCAAATGTAAAAAAGTTAATTAAGCCTCATTATTCTCAGTTGTTCAAAAGTTATTCACATCTAAACCCTCTGAAGTTAATATATCTCTTTCAAAGTAGAAAAATGTGAGTCACAAAAACAATAATCGTTAAGATTTTGAATGGAAAATGAATAAATATTCTGCTCTAAATGTACTTACATATACACACTCGTATCTGTATGGAATACTGGTATGAGACTGATTGAAACCATTTAACATAGAGAGACAAGAAAATTAAAGCTTCCTTTGCAGAACTGAATTCCATTCATAACTAGCAGCCAATTCCACCTGCTCCAGAAAGTAGGTGTTGAGTTAGTATCAATGCTAAGCAGTGAATGATGAAGACTCTAGGTCAAGCACTGTGTCCTCCTGGCTCTCCATTTTAATAAGCAAGTATATGACAAGACAAGATCAGAGAAATGCATGTATATTTGCTTTTCCTTTTACTGATTTGGCCAACAATGCCAAAGTGGTGCTATTGTTTTGTTTAAGAAAGTACTTGACTAAAATATAAAAGAAAGCATAAATATTTTTTTAATGTATGAAAATGACACTTATATAGGTATGGTTATTGAAATAGGAATACAACTAGCCATAACTTTTCAACTTTTTTTCACTCCAAAATGAAATCCTAAATCCAAAAAGAAATCCTAAATCCATGGGGATGGAGCATGAGAAAAGATTTAAAAAGATATAAACATTCATAGACCTGAATTCTGAATCTATTCTCAAATCTGAAACACATATGAAGAAAAGCATTTGAAGTCAAAGAACAATGAAAATGACTGAAAATCTGTTCAGATTACTGAAAAAATTCTGTACTATACCAAAGATTTTTAAGACACGGTCCAGACTGAAATCAGTGTTGAGTTTGGCTTAAAGTCAGTGGCATTACATAATTGAGATTCTTATTGAACACAAGCTTTTGTTTATATCTGATTACTTTCTCTTGTACCTGATCGCTTTCCATGGTATGCCCCAGAGGAGTCACTATTTTTTAAAAGCAGGAGAAAAAATGAACTTAATCTTATCAAGGAATGAAGAAACAACATATTCCTAAATGAAACTGTTGCTATTTTTAATTCTCACCAGTTTCAAATTGTGAAAAAAGTTGAAATATATGGCTAATAGTCTGTGAATTTTTTTAAAAAGTTTATGTGGTCACTATGAGCATCCTAATGTGCAAAATTACACATTTCATTGTTTTGTTTTGTTTTGTTTTTTAAATGATGGTAAATTAAGCCCAAGTAGAGATTCTTGGAACCTGTAGGCTAGATAGAATACTGATTTTCTGATAAAGGTAAAAATCAATATATTTAAAATGTTCTATTTTTAGTTTGAAAAGGAATAGTAATAATTTATTTGGGGACTCAACACTGGTCCCTCTTTTAAGGATACTGTTTAGTAAAAACAAGTCTTCCAAATACCATTCTTATATTCAAAAACAACATTCATTCCTCCCTCCTCCTTCCCCAGTAAATCTAGTTAAAACACCATCGGAACGTAATTTTTATTATTTGTCTGTTACTTTGGGGGATTGTTTTGCCTTGCTTCACTTTGTTTCTATTTGGGGAGTAGGGGAAAGGAGGAGGAGATGAGGCCTTCGAGTGACTGAAATTTTTCCTCTTGGGTACAATCCACAAAAATAATTTGCCTTGACGAGATTACTTATTATCCAATTCATGCATGGAAATAACATTAAGTAAAGCAGTCATTAACACAAAGTTTTTACTCTTTCTAATCCTACATTATACATTTTGCTTGTCACAGCATCGTAATATTCTACTGGACTTAAACTGTCCAAACGCACAGTATCTGATATAAATCTTCTTTGATTTTTTACATGAAGGGTGTTTTAAGAATATCTGAAACTTGATTACATATAGTACAGTAAAGAGATACCAGTCTAGCAGAGACCAAAACAAGAAGGACCTCCCTGATGCTGATCTTACATTAGGAAATTTTATCTTAGTTACATAAAGGGTGTGTGTACTTGTATGTGAATATGTATATATACATATATATATTATATATGTATATATATGTTGTTAGAATGTGTGTATGTGTACATGTGTGGGCATGTATATTATGCTTTTATTCTTTTTCCTCTCAAGTAAAATTTGAATTTGTTACTTTTTACGTATTATTTCACATGGATTATTTTCAATAATCCAATTGGAAGAACAGTGTATAATATGGGTGTCACAAGCTAGATCCAACATCTGTTTTTCACACCTCAAGAAATCACTTCATTTTGATATCATGAGACTCTTCTCTGCTGTCATCAAGCAAATCTATTTATCTGTTTAAGTATGGGTGTAAAATACAAACTCTGAATACCTTATTTTGGAAATATCAACTTCAGAATTCTATTTCGTCCTTCTCTGGATGACTTCTGTTAGATGAGATTTTTTTTAACTGCATGTGTCCTTTCAAATTAAGAATAATGTGTAATACAGGGAAGAATTAAGATTTCTGTCATTTAATAATATCTCCTCTATTATTCATCAATTAGATGCTCTTTACAAGTAGAATATATGTTTTTCTATATTACCCTTAGTGATTTCAGAAGTGGAAAAGACTTAGTACTATAAATTCATATATACAAAAATTTTTATAACTTTTTTGATATCTCTGTATTCTTCAGTGACTCCTTATTTTGCCACCCTTGCTCACAAAACTCAAAAAATCATCAATGTTATACTTCTGCTGCTAAAAAATCTTTCCAACTAATGTTATAAATATCCATTTACAATATTTACATTCACACTTGATAGAAGTTTTTAAAATCAGCATAAACGTGGTTGAAAGATTTTCTTCTTCATATTGTAAAGG